AGATTAAAGATAGTTTAAATATTGTTATTAAAAAGATCTTTCTTAAATAGTTACATATTCTTGAACAAGCTTGAGATATCTTAAAGAAAATCTGTTTTTTTTTTCAATCTCTTTTAATATATTAAATAGAAGTATTTCAACTTTTTTTTTTTTTCCTCTGTTAGATTAATTATGTGTACTTTATTAAACATTTGTAAGCTATACATATTAAATAAAATGTTAAAACTAATTCTCTAACTAATTCACTCATTTTGGTTATTTTATCACTCTAAGTATAACTTTGTAAGTGATTTTTTGCTCCATTAGAAGTTCAGGTGAAAACCTTTTCAATTTATAATATTATTGTCCACAAGTTACTACTGTAGATTACTCTTTTGAGCTCTGATAGAGATCAAACCCTAACCACTTCATACTATACTTCATACTATTTAATAAGATTTTTTTCAACTTTTTGTCTTTGATTCTTTTTTCTTCATATATTAACTTTTTACTAAATCAGCTTTCTATACTCTTGCACTTTCTTTTTTGGTCCCGTAGATATAATAGTTTCTTAATCTTATTATATTTGCAGATTCCTGATATCTGTTCTCACTCAATTACCTTTTTATATCTCATACTCCATATTTTCTTCCAAAAGTGATTATATACTTTTTTCTGCATTTTCATTATCCATCTTCTTATCTCTTTTTCAATTCTTTTATTACAACACTTCAGATCAACTATTCTTACAATTAGATCTTCCTCTATTAGTCCCATATAGAGGCTGAATGTATTCTGACTGGTTTCTAAGATTTTTTCCACCAATTTTGCTATTTGTTTATCAATTTCTCCTATTTCTATTCTATCATCTATTATTAAGTTTAACTCTTTTTTTCTTTTTTTCTTTTTTTTAAGAGCTTTCTGAATTTTTTGATAACTCCTTCTATTCCTTTTTGTCATGCTTCATTCCACTGAGTTTTGTATGTTGAATATTTTAGCAAGTATTTTATCATTTCTTCTTTCTGACCATACATAATATATTTCACTTGCTTATACAGATCTGATTTTCTTAGGGCTAGCTTAATTAACATTGATAGCTTATCATTGATCAATTTAATGAGAAAGCTTTTGTTTTGTGAGCTCTTAAAGAAAGTGTTCCATGTATATCTATTCTTAAATTGTTCTTATACTAGATTTCTATGTATTTGTGTTGGTTTTGAATTTATTGATCACATATCTTTTCAGTTCTACCTTGAGTTGTTCATTGATAGGCTATTACTTTATTATTTATTTTTTTAATAGCTTGTCTTTTGAAGATATTTAGTACTATATCTTACCATTTAATTTCTATAATGATTTTAAATAAAACTAAGTTTTTTCATTTTATTGTTGAAAACCTTAGTGCTTTTTTGGCAAGAGCATCTGCTTCTTCATTATACTGAATGTTAGAGTGTGTCTTAACCTTAATAAGCTTAAGATTCAACTTCTTTTTTTTTACAAGATCCAATATACATACCCACAAGAATCAGTTTTATTCTTTTAATTATCTTTTATGGATTATTCTGGAATCCTTCTTTTCTATAGTTTTCTATTTTGAGATACAGGCTTGACTATCTGTAAAGATCTTGATCTTGCTATCTACTAGAGTTATTAGTAGTATAGTTATTATTACTACTAATTCTGCTCTAGTGAATAAAGACCAATTGTTTACTTCAGTTTGAAATTTGCTTTCTTTTCCTGTCTCTCCTATCTGTATCCAAGCTGCTCTCATTTTCATGTTTATATTTCTATGGTTTATAAGAGACCCATTGGAGTAGAAGGTCATTGGTTCTTTTCTTTTCATATTATATTTAAGTATTTCGATCAGATGAGATTAGTAGACATCTTTTTTAATATGATCTTTAATGATATTTATTTTTCAATTTTCTATTTCAATCTGTAGTATTCTTTCATTCTAAATAGTTACTTTGTTGCAACATATTTTTCTATATATCATTTCTTCCAATACTTCTTTAAGACTTGGGATTTCTAGTAATTGAGCTTTTATGATAGATTTTCTTGCATTGAGATAAGGAAACATATGTATTTTCTCTATACTTGTTTTAATTATACATTATTCTTCTATCTTTGTGCCTTCTATACAATTTTGATACTAGGTTAGTTTTGATACCTAGTTTTTAACTGGGCTAATATATTCAAAGTACTTTTTTTTAAGCTGTCTTTAAAATTATCTAGAATTAATTTTTTCCAAATTATCTGTTGCTGCTGAAATTTGTTTCTTGTGATCATTCAGAGTTTCAGTTATTTGTCAAAGTTGAAGTTAAGATTAGGATATTTTGAACTCTATTTTATTTATTTTTTTTTTTAGGATTCTATAAGCAGTTTTAATTTATTTTTCTGAATTATATCAGTTATAGATAGATACCATTCTGGAATGGATCCTTTGTTTGTTTTTTGTAAGAGTTGAAGTATTTACCAGTTTCATATTACACTTGTTTTATAATCAACTAGAGGATTTATATATATTAGTTTGTTGTTTTTAAGTGATAGGATTGCTTTTTTATATTCTTCCATTAACAAATATTCTTTAATTGGACTGTTTCCTTGATTTTATTCAAAAATATTATTCTATTTCCAACTTTGAAAGATTATATCGTATCCTTGGTCAGCTTCAGTACTTGCAGTAAGAAGTAATCCTTTCCTGGAAAATTATTTAATGAGTTATATATAAATATATTGATAGGTTTCTAATATTTAACTTATGCTTGCTTGAGTCTAATAATTGTTGTGGTTCCAGCTATTCCTGGGTCATTTAATCTATTGCATAGTCCTATTATCTGACTTTCTTTCTGTAACATCCAAATACTCTTTAAATTATAAATCTTGATATGATATATTATACTTTTTTTTTTTTTTAATTGCCAACTCAGCTATGTTTATTAGCGATAATAGAATAAAATTCAAAATACATTGAAATTATTACAACTATTAAAAAAGGCTATTAAACTTCCTAAAACCTAAAAGTTTACTGAAATGCATGTTGCTGCTCCAAACCTGGGGAGACTAATATAAAATTACTCTTAAACTAGTGTAAGAGCAAAAAGAAAAAACACCAGGGCACTGCTGGACAAAGACCTAAATTTTCTCTACTACCGACCATCCACTGAGGCTAATACCAAGGAGAAGTCAACACCTACAGATTATCCACTGGAGTACTGTGTCTCTTAATCTTTAAAAGGGAGAGAGGTGAACTTCTACTATATCATCTTCTTCTTTCAAACAGGAGGGGGATGGTTTCAGAGGCCAGCTTTGTTAATACTATCTCATTTGGGAGTCTGCCTAGGGGACTACTCATTCAAAGATCAGATGGAACCTATGGTCAGGAGGGTGCCTTAAAACCTGTGAGGGGGTTGATGATCCAATCCTAAAGATAATATCAGCTTTAAGCATAAGCTGCTTATTTAAAAAAGGCACAACTCTTTCAAAGTCAGGCTAAGTCTTTAGGGAATCTTCTAATTTGGTGATAGTTTCCAACAAGTACTTTCACCAAGAGTAAGATTGGTGGGTACCACTGACAGTTGAAGTGGCCATACTTGAGGGGGAGTCATATTGAAAGTCTTAATATTGGTCCTTAGTTTCTGGTCCTCCCACAAACCATGAATCAGGAATAAAAAACCCGCCGGCTGGAAAAAACCTCCTGTTCACTTGACTATCAAGAAAAGGTGACTTCAATACTATAAACGGTTGAAGTATCTTATGACTTTTGCTATGGTCGGATGAACTCTTTCGATTTTATAAGAGGATGCAGTTTCAACAGATAGGCCTAAGCATATACAGTCCTTAAAGTGCTTATACTGGATTAAGTTGATGATTGCAATGAAAGCAACACCTATCTGCAAGGGTAGTGATACAAAAAGGAACATGTGAAACACGTGTATATCTTGTTTATCTTTTGTTACTGATGGCATTATTCAACTCCAAATCTCTAGCCAATGAAATTCCAGCAGATCTGGTGTAACCAAAAATTCAGGGTCAGATGGGGTAGACAAAATTCCTCCAAAAAACTGAAAATTTATTTACACGCTTCAGGAAGCTTGGGGTCTAGTGAATTTTCTAAAGGACAAGACCACTGCGCATGGCATAGCCTTTGGCGAATACTCTTCCTATAAACCTGCCTGCCCTATTATAGAGTCTTGGAGGGGAGTCTTCAACCAAAAGTCTTCTTCCTAAGTATCCTTTCTTGCCATTAGGAATCCAGGTTCTACCTCATTCACTTTTGACTTGAAACAAACACTCAAGTCAACCAGAGGAGCGAAGAAAAAATGAAACTGGGTGGGAGATGCTTTGTAGTGTGTTTACAAAGTGTGTTTAATGATAGTATAGTAACTTTTATTAGTATAGAGGTATAAAACTTCTGACGAACATTGCTTTGGAATTAGTGGTAAAAATGATCAGTGGAAAGAGTATTTATTCCATTTTTGCAACATTATTCATTTTATTGAAATTATATATAAATATATATTATTTTGTTAGATATACTATATATATTATTCTTTTTGGTGACATTCTTTCCCATTTGATGGTGACGCAGCAAACACAGTCACAAAGCAAACAAATGAAAGAGATATATCTGCAAAAAGGCTCCTTCAGAGCTCATCTGACTGAACTACAACGAAGAAGACTTGACTAGAGGGTAAACCAAACACAGGAACCTTGTGCTTGGAACTCAAGAACAGAAGTCCAAAGACAAATCAAAACTTCCAAAACACGAGTCCCCACTGAAACTAAAACACACAAATGTGCGAAAAGGAAAATAGTGAAAGGATAATGCCCCACAACAAACTGTCAAAGAAGATGTCCCCACGCAAACTTTGTGGGGTGACCATATGGAAGAAACAAGCTTCACAGCATTAAGCTCGAACCCAGCATAAGACCCCAATCCAGATTTCAGTGAACGAAACCCACCTCAACCCCTGACATAACAACCCCTATACAGAAATGGTCAAGATGGCCAAGAAGATATGTATAATAACATGGAGCTCAAGGAAGATCCTGTGATGGATAGAAAGGATGGGAAATGGAAACAACAATGCTGTGATGACTTCAGAGAGAGGAGCCCAAAAAATGGAACATACAAACTGCACCCACAGTTCCCCTTCAACAGGAATGTTAGATATGGATATGAAAGGTTCAAACTTGATATTATCTGATAAACTCCTTGAAAAAACAATAAATCAAAAGCTAGCATATATATCCAAGGCTCTCAGCATCTCTGAAGACATAATTAGCATATGCAGTGAAAAAATTGCCAACCAGGAGTATATCACTACCTTATTCAGTAATTGGCAATTGGTTGAGAACGCAAGTAATACTCAACTACCCCAAACAGATAATCTCAAACTTGAACTCATATCAAACACTCCACATAGGATTAACAAGGAAAATAGTGTTACATCATGGGACATCCCCTTGGATACAACAGTTCATGAGCTCCAACAACTCTTTGCCAAACATGACCAGATCAGCAATATCACAGTATACACACAATGCATATAGCAATCTGCCACTATCACCTTCATGAACACAATAGATGAAGAGAAACTACTCAATAACTGGAGCATACCATGCAAAGCAGACTCCATCAGAATCTTTGATTTCCAATAGAACCTACATCAAATGAAGGATAGATGAAATTTCTCTGCCAAACTAATAAACCTATCACCAGGTATCAATGTCTTTGACCTTTGTCAAATCATTTAACAAGCCAAGGGCAAAACCTACTATATTCCATGAAGAATGAACTATAAACGAAAATGTTATGTAGTAATCAGCTTCGAATCAGAATATACTCTATACTAAGCAATAGAAACAAATTACAATCTAGAAAAAACCACTGTCAAATGGAATCCAATTGAGATGAAATTATGTGTGATCTACAATAATCCCAATCACCTAGTAAAAGACTACCATATCAAAGAATGGAGGTTACAATAGAATGAGTACAAACAGTTACAAGCAGACAAATATAGCAAACTCTATATGCATTACAAGTCAATCAAAATCTCAAATATTATACAAATTATACAAGCAAGAAATTTGAGAGAAACCAAACTAGGCTCCTATGCAGCTACAGTCAAAGCAAGAAATAAAGTGACAGAGCCACTCAAATTTAGGCAAAAAGCTCTCCAGAAAATCCTCAAATATATCCAAGAGCTAAAATAAGAAATCCACATAATCAAAGAGACAGTCGCAGATTTATATAAATGAATTGTAAACCTGGAAAACTAGGATAAGAACTATACTTCAAACATGAATAAAGATCTACAAGAAATCAACATTATCAAATATAAGGAACAAATAACATCAAACTCTACACAGAACATTCTACAACAACAACATCAATTACAAAAATTCATTGGCAACATGGATTAGACAATGATAGTATTAGTCAACACAATCTCTGATCTTATCCCTCACGACATAAGAGAAGATACCAACACCTGAAACTTTCTTTAATTATAAGAAACAACATAGATAACAACTTCAACAACAATGACAATATAGAAAACCCTAGTAACACAACCACCCAAAAAGTAAATATGAAACAACCAAAGAAGCAAAAGCCAACCAACTATTCTATAACACAAATACAAAATTAAAATAACAATATGGGAAGATACACAATTTCAAAACAACTCAAACAATATTCAACAAGAATACAGCAACGCTTTAATGATAAAAAAGAAGAAAACCCATTCTCACAATGAAATAGCACCAATTAACAAATAACTAATACAAACAAACTGTACTAGACAATCACAACACTCAATTGTCAAGGATTAACACAAGTAGACAAAAGAGAAATCTGGTTCAAAATATGGAAAAAACATTAATAGAATATAATTGTCTTAACAGAAACAAATGGATTAGGAAAAACACAATCATAGAAAACAAAAGCATATATATCCTGGTGGACAGTCAGCAAACCATTAGGGTTAGGAGTTGGAATAGCAATAAAAAAAGATATCGCAATATATGTGATCAATAAAATGAAACTAGAAGGTAAACTCCTTTGTATTGACTTGACCTTTTCCAAAAAACAATACTATAGAATCATAGAGATCTATTCACCTGCTCAACCAGGCAAAGAAAGACAATAGATCCAACAAAAAGTACTAGCATGGACCAGTCAACACAATAGTTCAAACTGGCACATGATCATCACTGGAGACTTCAATACCTATCCTAACCCAAGCATAGATAAATTCAATAAAAATCACAAGATATATACTAAAAAACATAACAAGTTTTTTGATACACTCAGTGAAAAAGTCTTCATCAACTCATACAGGTTTTACAACCCAAACAAAAATAAATAAATTTGATGATTAAACAATACTGCAAGCAGGATAAATAGCATTTGATACAACTTCAGACCAACATAGATATCAATAGATGCATATATCCATGATATCTGGAAAGATATTCTTGATACTGACCATCAAGTACAAACATGTATAATCAAATCTTAGCAACTAGTTAAGAAAAATAGAAGATACCACAGACCACATGGTAATATCAGATTTAGCTGAAACAGCACTTGTGCATAACAATAGAAAAAATTCACTGAGAAAATGGAAGAATTTGCAAATAAATGGCAGAATATTATACAAGATCAGTACAAAACAATTGACTAATGTTGGTATAGTTTTAGAAAAAAAATCCTTTGCACAACTAACAAACATATAGACAAAATAAAAGAATGACAATACTGACAATACAGAACAGTTCCATACAACAATTCACTTCTTCTCCTTCAGCTCAACAAATTAAGAAAACACATGGGGAAAAAAAATGAAAGCAACAGAAGAAAGGTCACAATAGAAAGAGAAATTGCAGTACTACACAAAGCCATAACTCAAACTGTACTACTTCCAGAACTGATAGCTATAACAGACAAGCAGGAATATAGACAAAGGTTGGATCTAATAATAAAAATGGAAAGGAACAAGTTCAAATAATACAGTGCTGAGAGAATCGCCAAGGACATCAAACAATTCAAAGAAACAAGAAAGTGATAGCTGAAAACAGATAAAAAAAGAATGATAAGGTCAATTCTGAATAACCCCAAAAGAAGCATAGTAACAATATGACTCATAGACCACACAAATGGAGAAAGACAAGTCATTGGTGAACCAGAAGCAATAAAAAATATAATTCGTCTACACTTTGAGTCATAGATCAAGAAGAGGAACATTCACAACCATAAAGCAACAATTTGGCAGCAAGAATACAACCCACTTGGCACAGTTTCAGAAAAATGGTATCTCCCAACAACTGCCCCAATCAAGAAGGAAGAAGTACAAGAAGTTATAGCAGGAATGAGCAAAAAATCTGTTTCAGGACTATCATACATAGTTTACAAAAAGTTAGAAGAAAATATGATAAACAATCTCATGCTTATATATGACAAAATAATAGAGAAAGAGTTAGTTCCAAAAGAATGGAAACAGAGAACAATCTACCTGATTCCTAAACTTAAAGACCGGCAGCATAATATCAATATCACCAGATCCATCCCACTACTGGAAACAGTAAAAAAGATTTTCTTCAAGATCATTACTAAAAGGCTAAACCAAGTATTGATTAAGCTTGAGATCTTGTCAGAACACAACTAGGCAGCACTTTCAAAGCTAAGTACAAAAGAACACATTTGCATAATTAACAATATACTAGAAAATGCATGTGAAAACAAAAAATCCTGCTACATGCTCTTTCAGGACATAAGCAAAGTATATAACATAGGCAATATTGAAAGACTCACTTTAACAATGGAGAGAATCAAAATTCTTCCAAAAATCATGAAACTCATAGAAGATGCATTTACAAATAGACAAAATAAAATAATAACCTTCTTTGGAGATATGAATCCTTATATAGTTCAAGAAGGAATTGACCAAGGTGACACAATTTTTCCACTAATCTGGAGAATATATTATGACCCCCTTATCAGCTATATAAGCAAAATGAAAGGATATCAACTGACTAACTGGGAAAATAAAAAATGCAACATAAATATCTCTATTGTAGCCTATATGGATAATACAACCTTCATAATACAAAATCAAGAGGACCTGAAGCTAATAACTATTGCTAGTAGTGCCTTCTACTACCTTAATAACATCACTGTGAATCCAACAAATCAGATCTTCTAATTCTCAATAGGCCAAAAGATCTATTTCTTTTTCAAGATCAACTGATACAACCCAGTATAAACATAGCAGTAGTCAAAGTTCTCAGTAGTGTTCACAATTTTGATCTGAATCTGATTGATCTGTGAATCAGATATGAATCAGATTAGATCAAATTTTAAAATTTTTAATTCGATCGGATTTAGATCAAATCGAATTTTAAATTTACAAAATTATTGAATTCAAATCAGGTTCAGATCAAACCCAAATCAAATATGCACCAGCCCATCAGTCTATATAAATTGTTATATAACTATTTAATTTCATTTAGATGAACTATCTAGGAAATTAAAATTGAACATTCTAGAAAATTAAAATAAAAATTTTTTTTAAAAAAACAATATAAAAAGCAAGCTAAAAAAAATTCACTACTTTGTTCTTCTTGATAATTTTTTAATATTTCTTTGCGATATTGTAGTTTTGCTGCTTAATTACTTTCATTGTATCCTTTGCTTTGCTAATTTATTTCTTTTAAAAATGGAATT